CTTTTTAACGGCGTACCGAATGGTTTTCATCCATCTCCAGTTGGTTTATGAGTAAAAATCATGAATAACCCAGTAACTAGTTCGATCTACCTTGTAAAACCCTGGAACAAAGCCATGGAAAAACCAACGATTTACCTCACCGGTTGAGCACCAGGGTGGTTTCGTGGTTGCCATTTTTCGCTCGTGCAAAGCCGTGGGAATTGCCAAGCAACTCAACAAAACTCCAAGTAACTAATTGCTTGATGGGGGTTATATCGAACCAGTTCATGGGGTATTGTAAACATTGTAAACCAACATGACTGAGTGGTACCACCCTGAATACCTCTCATGCTCTTCCCATTTATCCCATTATTGCCATTTACTAACTTCCATGTGTTTCTTGTTGTCATTCCCCTGCCCATTTCCATTATTGTTCTTGTGGTTTATTGTGCTTCACAATGTCTTGACATTGTCTACGCAGTTTCATGTATATTATTATATTTGCGTTTACCCTCCGGTAAACGTTTACATAACTATGGAAAATCACCATATTTTCAATGGGTAAATCCAATATTTGTATGGCCATTTTCAATAGCTATGTAACAAATTACCGGAGGGTGATTTCATTGTTCTTGTTCACAATATCCCGGATTATATCCCATGCTGTTCCTGAAGGTCGAGTCTTTCAATCCGCCAGTGATGTCAATGAACTGCATGAGTGAAGTAGTAAGCAGTTCAATCCGGAAGTTCAATCGATATTACCTGCTTACTTACTTGGTGGTTCATCCCACTTATATAATAAGAGTTCATAAACCCAATTATAAGTGGATTAACCCTACTTAGCCCATTTACACTTCCTCAAATGAACATAGAACATCATAGAACTTGCCAAAAAGCGGGTTTGGAAGATTACTACACTTATGTTCACCAAACCATTGCTGATTCTAAGAATCAACAAACTTGAAAAAAACGAGAAAAATATACCGTATATAAAAAAAATTGAAAAACCAAAAAGTAAATCAGCAAAATCCAAAAAAACAAAAGCAAAATAAAAGGGAAAAAAATGTGAAAAAAAAGGAAAGACAAAAAACAAAATGGAAAAAAAAATGGACTTGTCCATTTGTTTTGCGTTTTGCGTTTATTGTGCTTTTTCGATTCGGCGGCTTTTTTTTTGGCTTTTTGCCTGGGAATAAAGAAGCACAAAAAAAGCAAAAAAAAACAACAAATCGAAAAAAGAAAATAAATGCCATGCAAATGGACAAGTCCATTGTTTCCCATTTGTTTTCCCTTTTTGACTGTCCTTTTTTCACATATCTATTTTGTTTCCTGTTTTTTTCAGTTTTTAAATGTTGCTTTTTGATGTTCCCTTTGTTTTCCTGTTTTTTCCAGATTAAAAATCCATATATAGAATAAGCAATTGAGGATAACATCATACTACACTTCCTCAAATGAACATAGAACATCATTGAACCTGCCAAAGAGGGGGTTGGAAGACGACTTTCCGCCAACAATGGTCTATTTTCAAGGTCTGAACTGTTCATGTTTCGGCATTTCAGTGCCAAGTGAGCTGCACAAGTTCTCGAAGTGAGTGCTTCTCACCTCGGTCAAAGTTCACGGTTTACCGGGATCGAAGCATCCAAAAATGCTGGATCTAACCAGCAACCAAGACAACTAGAAGCACTTGGGAAGAAGTGTAAGCCAACCAAAACTTATTCCAGAAAAATATATCCCATTTTTGGGGGTGATTTTCACCCAGAAGTAGGGGCAGATTATGATGATTTCGGGGATTAAAGCAACAAAAATTCGAGGTTCAGCTGCAAGAAAATGGGGGCAGATTCAGCCCCAAATGGGGGTTTCCATACACGGGGGTCACCCAATAGGTAGGTGGATGGTTTATCATGGAAAATCCTCTTCAAATGGATGACTTGGAGGTACCCCTATGACTTCGGAAAGCCCCCAAATTATTGGTGGATTTCCCGTTGGAAGTGCTGAAGCCTCAATCCATGACCCTTGGTGCTTCTAGTTGATGTCTTGGTTGAAACCCATGAAATGGTTTCAATGATGGGTCATGCAGCCCGATGAACTCCAAACCCACTCCACTGAAATGAGATGAAAGTCATAATGTTATCCTGGTTTGTCAAGATCGGCATCGGGGTTCCCACAGTCCGCCAGTTCGTCATCCCCAGATAAGAGCGGGCAATATAACCCCTATAGATATCCAATCAACCATCAACCATCACTTATCAACAATCTGCCCATTGTTTCTCTGCCAATTTTTGCTCGTTAAAGGCCCTAAAAAATGACAGCTCCATCACCGTGAAGCTTTCTTCAGGATTTATCAAGCATCTGTTGGGGTTCCCTTTCGGGCTTGAATCCTCATGATTTCCTCTGTAGCTCCAGGGATTCTAGGGAAATTTCTGTACAAATTGAATGGACTGATTGCAAAATCCAAGGGGAAAAAATGGTGTGCCTTGTTTTTTCCCTAAAGATTTTATGGTTGATTACTCACATGCCAAACCACTCCAAATTTTACCAAATCTATGAGAAGGGATGGTGTGGCATATGGATGTCACACCTATGAATTGTTCACTGCGGGCCGGACACAAAATCTTCTCAACCACCCAATGGGAACAGGACAATCACAGTTGAAAGCGCCAACAAAATTGAAACTATTGCTATTCTCATCAAAAGTTCAATCGAAAACCGACCTGGATGGACGGAGCAGATCATATACTCAATAATTACAGTACTCTGCTCGTTTGAGGCTGAAACAATGGCCAAAAAAATTAACCCTTGGTTTGAAAGTAGCTTGGCAGCGGTTGCGGGCCAGTGTCGATCTTTTGGGCGAGGCCACTCTTCTTGTATTTGTCGCGAGTGAACATCCTCAGGACACGAGGTCAGAAACCAATGTTCCAATGGATCTAACTGGGGAGTTGTTCCATTTTGTGAAAACCACATTTCGGCAAGACTTCCTAACTGGGCACGATTTTTCCGGGGCACCCTTCACTTCAGCACCTGGAGGTTTCCTAAAATGCTACCCCAGCGAAATCATCCATAAATTTTCGTGGGAATTTCCATGAAATAAACCATCCAGCGATAAAGGGAAATCCACCATTTATTTATGGATACCCCAAATCATCCAAAAATACCCGGCCTGGTAAACGTTTACATAGCGAACTGGAAAATCACCATCTTTAAGTTCGGTAAATCAACGAACTAAATGTGCCATATTCAATAGCTATGTAACAGTCATTACCAGAGGGTAAAATCCATTAATATCCCGTTATTCACCATTAAATCTCCATTAAATCACCATTAAATCACCATTAAATCACCATTTTAGTAACAATGATTCTGGTGCTGCCTCCATGGTGGTGCCTCCATAATTTGCCGCTGGATCGTCCGTTGGCTGAAATATGCTTAAACTCAGAAGGCCAATTGGAGATTCGTAGCCCATTTCAGAGAGGCCCAAATACCATATTGGTTATATAATATATATACAGTATATACAGTATATATATATATGTATCCACTTACATCCCATGATATCTCCATTGTGGTTGGATATCAATCCCACAGTTCCGACTGTTTAATTATTTATATGGGTTCTTAGTGGTCCAAAACTCCCATGAAATCCCATGAAATCCCAGGCGATGAAATCCCAACATCCATTGCCATGGTGGGCACCGTGGGCACCCCTAGTTATGTTTGTTAGCGTATAGTATAGACCCCATGACTATCGAAAAACATGTGGATAGGTCAAGTTACCTACTTACCCGTGGTAAGCACCAAAAAAAATCGGTGATTTACGGATGGTCGTCCCCCCAAAAGAAATGGTATAGGTATTGATCCACTGATCCATATCTACCATTATCTACCCAGCATAGTTAGAAAACGCCCTAAACTCGGCATTTTTTACCAGCTTAGATTAACATGGTATCTCCCACCCCACAAAGTTGTGGTTTATCCCAGTGGATCCCAGGAAAACACAACCAGCACGTTGATGTCTTTTCGACACCGTCCAGCTGAATCAGGAGGTAACGATTTCGTCTATATCCAGCTGGTGGTTTCTTACGGCGATCCCCAGTCGTCACCATAGGTTTCAATACTAAAATGGTCTCATCTTGGGATGATTTGGGATACCCCCATTTTAGGAACCCCCCAAATCAACTCATTGTCAAAAAAAAACATATACTTCATAGTAACCCCCAAAAAGATTGAAAAGTAATGTCTCACTATTTCAGTAGCCTTTTGTTTTTCTATCTTGTAGGAAGTTGCTATATACTCCATTCTACTCCCAGGTTCTCTCAGGTTCTCTCTATGCTTCAATGGTTTATACAAGCTGAGGCCCTCCAGTTGTAAGTTGGTTCATAAACCCCATTAACTATAGCTATATCGGGGTTTCCTAAAAAAAAGGTGTATCCCAAAATGGTTGGTTTATAATGGAAAATCTATCTATAAATGGACGATAACTGGGGGTACCCCTATTTCAGGAAATCCCGAAACAGCCAGTCATGAAGTCGACTTAGCTATCCAGGGCTGACCTGAAAAACTAGAACCATTTCCAGCCCGCAGGTCGTTCTCCCTATATTTTGCAGGCCAAATCTCTGCACTTGGAAGATGTCCGCCACCTTGTCTTTCATACTGAAGGTCTGCCTGAAAAGGGCAAACAATATAAGGAAGGTCATGGTCATTTTTTTGCAAGGGAAGTGTGATGTTTTTCTTTGAATGTTATGTTTACAGGCGTTTCGCCTTATCTCTCTTTTTTCATTGCACGATATCCAGTAATACTATATCATATACACAGTACTTTACAAGTAGCTACATATTATAATATATATATATCAATGGACATTTCAGGAACCTAAATTGGAGGTACCTACCATATATAAGGCCTATATAAGGCCTATGTATGTATATATATATGGGTGTGGGTCAACATGCTCGGGGACTATGAATTCATGACTTCGGTAAGTTGATCCCTGGATCGGAGTGACCTGGAAAAGTGGCGGCTGTGGATATACTTAATGTCGGTGAAGCCAATAATAAACCATGGGAACATAATGAGAGTACAATTGGAATACAATGTGAATATAATGGGAATACCATTGGAATACAACCGGAATGTATTGGGAATATTATATATATATACCATTGGAGTACAATGGAAATGTCATGGGGATATAATGGGAATACCATTGGAATACAATTGGAATGTAATTAATGGGAATAATGTATAATAATATGAGAACATAACAGCAATTTAACAGGATATCTGGGATTAGAATGGAGATATACCCTCTGCATATCTATAGCCAGGGAAAATTACCCATCTGTATATGACTTACCATGACTTACCTATTAAACATGGTGATGTTCCGCTGCCATTGTAAATTGCCGAGTGTTTTTGGATTAAGATCATTGATGTAGAAAGAGTCAGCTGAAACTTCCTGAAAATCATTGATCTTAATTCTTAATCCAATAAAATGATTGTCAATTATTATTATACGCTAATTGAAAATACAATTCAACTTTTTCTTTCAATAATGTCAATCCCTGGTAGTAAAGATCAATTCGGTGCAGCACAAGTTCAATGTTTCTCCTTCTCCCTTTTTCCCAAATCAGAAATAAATCAATTCTGGCTATGACTATCATCTATCGATCAACTAGTTTGGATGGTTAGATGGTTAGGTGGATTCCCTAACTTTGGGTGGTTTACCTAATCTATTCTAACCATAACCAGCATCTACGTAAAGGCCGCCGTTCACGACATAAGTTCCCGCAAAACGAAGTCAGTTAAACACTACTCGTCAGCAATAAAAAAAAACAATAAACTTCCAAAATTGTCTAATTTGTGGCCCTACAAGGTGATGCCCCCTAGTTATCAATTGGTTTATAAACCCCATTAACTATAGAATTATATCACCTATAAACCATAGTTGTTGTGGGGCCCTACCCTACAAGTCGGTCTATAACCCCATCTACCTATAGCCCCACCTTGCAGCCGAACATGATGAAAAACACCGACATGTCTGGGTTGATAATTTATCCAGATTTACCAAGATTTCTCCAGAGGCTTTACCCACAAATCCAGAGTTACCGCTTAGTTTTACCAAGCCTTCCGTTCTTGGCGCTCTTCTTATTCTTCTTCCCCGAGCGAACGTAGGACAAGCCGTCGTTCTCATCCTCTGCTTCCTGGTTCGCGTTCAACGCACAGGGATGATGAGGATGTGATGGGATAAAAGTGGAGATGTAGAGGGATTAAGCAAGGAAAATGGGTATTGATAACCAACCATGATCGGAAGATCATGGGGATCTATATCTACGGCTCTACCCAACCTGTCATGGAATTGAAATACTGGTTGGGAACAAAATTCCCATGACATAGTTCACGGATGATGATCTCCTTTCTTTATCAGGCAGTATAATCCCATATGATCAATCAATAAGGATTTCGCAGCCACTGCTCAAGCGAGGATATGGAAAACCCACTCTGTCATTCACTCCTAGTCCTACTGACTGACGGGGATTCTCGTACGTGTTTGTCGGAAAAAGGGGAATATGCGGAAATTTGCATTTCAAGGGAAAAAAAAATTATAGACCTGGGTTTGAGTGCATAGTTCATAACAAGCACCATGGACCATCGCAAAGGACATCACGTCATTTCGAACCATCAGAAGGAATGAACCGGGCATTGCTCACATTGGCTTGCCGCAACATCTAGTCTAACCCCTTCCATTGGTACATTAGGATATGATATGCAATCTTTCTGTACGGCTGAAAGAGTGAGCCACGTACAGGAAGCATCAAGGTTGGTCGAACTCAGAAACCACCTGAATCCTTGATTGTTGATGCGAGTATCTGTTTACGTTGAAAAGGTATTAATGTGGTAAACCCAATTCCATAAACCATCCGCAAAATCGCAATTGTTGTGGGTGCCATAAACCATCACCAAAAGGTCGAATTATTCTTGGGTTTCCTACATTAAAATATGTCTCTTGAATCTTAAACGAAGAACATCTTCCTGCTGTTCGACAAAAAATATCGCGTGTCTACCCTGGCTGTGGTGGATACGACGATACCCCTAAATAGACCACCTTCTGTGCTGATATATATATATATACGATTGAAGTAAAAATTGGAGAGTTTTAATGTTTTGATGTTTGGAAACACCTAAACCCCTCAAATTGAAGGCTGTATCCTTATGTTTGCCGGTTGTATTGGAAGCCTATTGAAAGTAACCTCGAAAATCTTGAAAATAACATGTTCATTTCTCACACGAGCCGAGTCAGAAAAGTCCGAAAAATCCATCCCATTTCTCCAAAGGGCATCCAAAAATTGCAGCACTTGTGGATTCATAGCTTAAAAACCTTGGGTTTTTGACGTGCCTTTTTGCAAATGTTGCTGCCGCTGCCATGTTTGGTACCGAGTCAGGCCAAAAATATCCCATGAACTCCCTATTCAACAGTAAATTGACTGTGGGATTCCCCTGCCATACACCATCCCTAATGACTCCAATGACCATGGCTGGGGTTCAAATCATCCCCTGGTTGGTTTTTGGCACGGGCCTAGAAGGTGAGCTTCGTGTGCGAAGTTGACGCACAGTTCACTTGACGTCTGGGTTGAGGGGATATAACTATGGTATTCATGGGGTTTAGGAAACAAATAAAACTGGGGAGGCCTCACCTTGCATGATAATTATGAATATATGTAATTATATATATATGTATATATATATGTATATATATGTGTATATATATGTATATATACTTAGTTCTATATAAGGAAGTTGATAAGGTGATAATGGAAAAATACTGTTGTATGTTTACTGTCAATAATGATAGTGACATCATATGGATAAATTGATAATGAGTTCGTTTCACATGATTCAGGATTTCCCTTACACCCCTCCCCCCTGTGAAGCCACAGTGTGGCTGCAGCGGGTGCTGCTGCTGCTGCTGCAGCTGCCATTTCGCCCTGGGCAGGTACGCCCAGGGAATGTGTTGGGGGATGGGCCCAGGGATTTGTCAGAATGATTGATCTAAATATGGGTGATTTGGGGTACCATTATTTTAAGAAACCACCATATGAATCCGCCATCGAATTTCAGGTGAGACGTTGTGACCCCTGGTCTGTATGTTATAAAAAAGATTCACAAGCTTGGGGCTATAGAATGAGGTTGCTGAGCTCCATTTTTCCCCAACATAGCCTTAGCTACAAAATGCCCCTTCGTTTTCAACAACTGTATCATACAAGGACATACCCTTTGATAAGCCAGCATGAAGTTCATCATGTCACGCTACAAAATGCCACTGCGATTTTCATGATGGACTAACATGACTAAAATGGCTCCTTTATAAAATGAGATTCACAAGTTTAAGCTACAAAATCTTGGACCTGGATTTCATCTCAGGGCTAGCCTGACTAAAATGGAAGCCTCTGTATAGTGCTTGTGGCCACAAACTTTGTAGCTTAAATTCACAGGGGGGTCCATATGATGTGTAATAACAAAGGAGGACATGCCGCACATGCCAGAATTAAAAACTAGTCAAAGTAAGTGATGGGATAGTGGTTTAGTTTACCCGATATAAGTTGATGATCAAAATTAGGATCTAGCCAGTCATGAGGGCTACATTGTAGCCACGCATGGCTCAAATAACATAGGCAAAATGGCCTGCAATATCCCATTACCAGTTATATAGATGAATGTCATGAGAATGGAGCCAAGAACACAACAGGTCAAGCAACTTCAGGCTACAGAATTTGAATAGTGTCATAGCTCCCAATCCCACAACAGCTCCTTCATCGACAGCCATGGCGGCTTCATCGTCCAGTGGATCTGCAGGTGGTGCAAATGGCAGATTGAGGTTACTCGAAAAACATATGATCATGAATGATTACAGTAAGTTTTATCTTACCTGAGATGTATGGGCAATTTTCCACATTGGCCAGTCTTGCATCTGAGGCTTCCTGGTGTGGGACCAACAGTGATTGGACAGAAACCAAAGTTGCTTGGCTTCTGATTTATTTTTTTTTTGGCCCCATTCTAGCTGGTAATTGGGATATTTGTTTTAAAGGAAAACAACCCTAATACTTGAATATAACTAAGGATAGCAGCTGGCCCAAAGCGAAAACGGGATGATGACGAAGGTGACAAAGGAGCTGCTCCGACGATGGTTACCATCTATCACACCAATGCGAGTCTTGGCTGGTCCAGGAAACCTTTTTGGTGGTTAATTTGTACATTACAATGATCAATCAGAATCATCGGATGTTTTGAACACTGTTCATTAGGGTTTTTAAATTGCGGTACTTAGGGAACTATTGTTTTGTTTTTTTTGCGGGGACTACTTCAAATACACAAGGAACTCATATTATACATAGATAGGGTACCGACCCCTTCAGAACCACTTGACATCGATCAAGGATCCGTTTCCACCATAGCCCTGACAATGTGGTTCGCATTGACACGCATCTTGGTGCTTTACTTGGTCATTTGCAGTTTCCCTTTTATTTTTTGAAAAAATATTTCCAGCTTGGATATTTTGTTTCTACATGGCATTGGGTTGCATCTTATTGTACAACAAATCAGGACAACCTGGTTGGCCCAGAACCCGACCTTAATGAAGTTCTTTGGGCAAACTGCCCCAATTGGTCTTGGCTCCCATCCTGGTGCCTGGGTCGGTGCATTTGTTTTTGTGAACATATCCAAATAGTTTGAATTTGATTTCATCCGTTCTTCAATTTTGCAAGAAACCGATTGATCACTAACTAAGGACCTGAAACATCAGAGGGCTATCCATCTCTTGAGGGTGAAGTATCATGTGCTCCTGCACCTGGGGACCATCCGAACTGCATGCCTGTTGGAGATGCAATGATAGAACCTTAGATTGTTCATGATTTGTCAGTTTCTGAGGTGTGTTCCAAAATGGTGAATAACACAACTTTTCTTAACATGTTTATGGTTCATTATGGGGTTATCAATGTAGTACCTTCATAAATCTGTTTATTATATAAATTTATGGGAGTCAAGTTCCACAGAAAAAACCCAAAGCCAAGGACTAACCTACAGAGACGACTTTCCTGGTTCCAAGAGACCATGCCTCTGCAATTGCTACAAAGACCATCAAGGATGTTACTTGGGTCAAAAACATGTTGTGTTGTTATTTTTGGGGAAATCTTATTTTATGTTTTGGGAGAGAACCATGCAAATGTTTCTAAGGTGAAGAAATTGCTCATCGATAGTGATGCAGAAAACAGCCTTGAGACATTGAGGAAATTGGCAAACTTGGTGGGATCTAGCTGGCATCTTGTGAGGACTGTTGAAACTTGGCATGTTCGGATGGGTGTGTTCAAATTTCGATTGTTCACCCAACTTTGGGGTGTTGGCTGATTTGAATATTTTCCCATTTGTTTTTGTTGGTTTTATTTGGTTTTCCCATCTACTAAGGATATGCTTCATGGTGCCATGCAAGAGTCAGTGGTGGACGACTCTAATCTGACTGATGAAGGACCCTCAACACCACCTAAACCCTTTTGGCAGCTGCGTCGATGATATGTGTATGAGGTATGAGTTCTCCATGCTGGAAAACTTACAAAGATGGTGCATCGCATGGTATGAGTACTCCATGGCTGGCAGGCTTAAGATGGTGGGTGCATTACATGATTTTGACAGTAGCGGCCACAACACTGGAAAAAAAAGGGTGGACATGTGGCTGCCATTGTGACCATAATCCTAGGGAAATAAAAAGTAGTTCCATTGGTTGACTGATAAAACCTGCAATAGTTCATCTTTTGACCCAGACATCCATCATGGGTTGATTGATTATTTTCAAGAAACCGATATATGGTATAATATTTGGGGATCATCTGTTGGGGAATTTGGTCAAATGTCTTGTTGCCCTGGTGATATCCACAATCTATATAATTGACTAAGATTTGGGATTTAACCCAGTCAGGTCAGTATGAAGATGATTCAACTTACCTTGTCCCAAAAAAACAGATTTTCAAACATCCCGGAACCCTAAAAATGGTTTACATACGATAAAGGGGTATTACTCATAAATCAACCATTATTGGGGAATATTAGCCATATATAGACCATATTTAACCAATGTTTCGGGGGTATGTCCAATATTATTAATTGGGATAATATGTTGATTGTCAGCTGTCTTCAAAATATGTTCAATGTTTTTCTCCATATAACTGGTCTTACCATGTATCCAGCCCCCTGTGGTTTGTGCTTGCCTCATGATTCTCCGGCAAGGTGTCGAGATCCTTTGCTGCCAGTGCTTGGCATCCCAGATGATGGATGGGGACGGTTGGTTTTAGGGCTGATGGATGGGGGTCGATTGGTCTTAGTTTTTTTCACCAGAAAAAAATAATGATGAACACCAGTTTCACTGGTGGATGGGCAAGGGACTAAGTAAGAGTGGATTCAATGGTGATGGTTCATTTTGCATTTAGCGTGGCATTTGGTTTTTGGAACATAACATGATTGAAAGTTTAATGTACACTCCATAGTATTTTTTGCAAATGGATCCCCAGCTGGTCAAGGGAACATAAAGTAGATAAACCTGCTGCCCATATGGCACAGCTGTCATTTGCTGGAACGTTCACAGCATACCGCAGCCATTTGGGCAACTTAACAAACCCATTTTTTCAATGCCAGGTTTTCTTTGACAGTCCACAAAAATAAACATATCCTTCACCAAACATTGGAAGCAAAAAGCCATCAGAACTTATATGAACTTATGAATCATTCTATAATGAATCAACATGGTTTTGCCAGTTTCTCCCATTCAAAAGTGCAATCTCCCACTAAACGATATACTCATAAAGAAACTTTTAACAAAAGTCATGTTGCTTTCACTTTCATGTATCATCCCTGAAAGCTTCAAGCCCTGGGGCGCTTGCGATTCCATGCGCTCCAAAACTCGTCAACAACTCTGCAATGTGGCCTGGCGTTGGCAAAGGTGGCGACTCAACTTTGGATGGTTGGTCGTTGGACCACATGGCCTTCAGTGCTCAACATGCCAGAAGGCAGGTTTAGACACCCCATGGAGCCGTGGTGAAGGTTACTGTGACCCAATCATAGTATCATTTTCTGGTAGGACTATCTGACTATCTGGTTTCAAAGTATTATTCCACATCTAAATCCCCAGGTTTCATATAATAATAATTATTAAATTAAGTCCCCTGTTTTTTCTTTAAGTGGCTGGTTTCCACGTGATACCCCAGTAGTATGCTGGGCCACCAATATGTTCCTTGAAACTTGTTTTGAAATGTTTAGCGGGAATTCCTTTCAGCTCAGGTGGCCGGGGTTCAAAAGCTGTTTTCCGTTCCCATGTCAAGCAGCACGCAGCTTCACGAAAGCACAAGCTTGCAGCAGCCTGTTTCAAATTTAATTGGTTATGATTATTTAGTTTACCTCTGTGTTTAATTTCAGATGTTTTTTTTTAACTGCCATCTGGCATTTTTGAGCCAGTGAGGCAATGAAGGTTGATGGAGGTTGCTTGAACCAACATACTGCATTTTGTTTTTGCCCAAAGTTTTTGATCTTTTTCGGCCCTCTCAATTCAACCCCCATCACATGGAAACTGACTAAGGTCCTGAATGTGACAACCATGGGGCCCTCGTTGATGGCAAGATCGTCCCCCATGCAGCAATATTCAAATGTATGGTGAAGGCTATCAAGGCAAAGAAGGATTGTGATGATGCTTCCGGGGTCTCTGGGCAGAATGGCGAATCTTAGAATTGTTTTGTTTTTTGAAACAGCAGTTCAAGTAACAAGATAACAAGACCCGATAAAAATCAGACTTTTTAGGGTGAACTATGGCAACAAAGGTTGGTGGAGATGGTCGAAAGCGGAAACTGCTTTATTGTTTGGGCCAGGCTGCCAGGATTTTGACCGTCCGGGTCCTATCAGCGGCTACATCCGTTTCAATCCAACAGGATGGGCTTGTAAAGCACAAAACATATGTTTCAAAATATGGTTCAATGTTTTTTTATCCCATCTTTAGTGATGTTTTGCTCTGACAAAGCAAACCATGGATTCAGGATGCCCGAAAAAATTGCTTAGCATTGCGCTATGCTGCATGCAGTGAACAAACACTGAAAGCAGAAGGTGGTGTCGTGGGGGTGATCAACATGGCTGAAGAGCAAGATTTCACTGCTGTTGGTGTGAAAAATGCATGTGTCAAAGTCATCAAGGAACTATGTGTGGGTGATGGCACTGTCCCCTACTCAGTGGCTTGGCTTGAATTCTGAACTGGTATTGTTTCGCTATTTGGGAATTGTGAAGTTCATATACATAAGTCACATTTTTCCCATAGATGCAATGATAGTTTCAATATGTTTAATTTTTTGTTCTGCTTAGGGGTTCAAAGTTTGACCTAGGAAGAACGACCTTTGTCATTTGAAGACGTTTGGCCACAATTACAAATTTCAAAAGTTGAGCAGTTTTGCAGTGATGCAGCATTGGATGAGCAAGTCTGCAGTGAGCTTCTTCAGCATGAATTTCGGGCGCTCAAAGTGAGATCTAAAGATGCAACACATGCCACGCGAAGGACTGGTTCTGTCCAAGCTGGTGTTTTTCAAATTATGTTTTTCTTTCAGTGACCCTGTGTTGAGTATGTTATTATTGATCAAGGGGTTACTTTAATTACTTTACTTCGTGTGATCCCCACCATGACATTTATACATTTTCTTACTGGCAAATCTTCTGGCATTCTATCTGACATATCTTCTGACATTCTATTTGACATTCTATCTGGCATATCTTCTGGCATATCTTCTGCATTCTATCTGGATCTTCTGGCATTCTATTGACATATCTTCTGGCATTCTATCTGGCATATCTTCTGGCATATCTGACATATCTTCTGGCATTCTATCTGACATATCTTCTGGCATATATTCTGACATATCTTCTGGCATATCTTCTGGCATATCTTCTGGCATATCTTCTGGCATATCTTCTGGCATATTTTCTGGCATTCTATCTGGCAAATCTTCTGGCATTCTATCTGGCATTCTATCTGGCATATCTTCTGGCATATTATCTGGCATTCTATCTGGCATATCTTCTGGCATATCTTCTGGCATATCTTCTGACATTCTTTCTGACATTCTTTCTAACTTTCTTCTGCACATTCTTTGTCCCATATCTTCCTACATGAGGTCCGGCACAGGGAACACTGGGCGTGGATGGTCGTGGTTGAGGTCCGGCAGAGAACACTGTGGATCGCGGGTCGCAGTTGAGCAAGGACGACGAGGACGACGAGGACGACGAGGAGGAGAAGGAGGAGGAGGCAACTGACATAAAATCTAACAACCCTCACCTGGCAGGTGGGGAAAAATCTTTAAAAACGAAAAACTAATTTGAAGTCAGTGCCGCAGCTCAAGTGATTGTCTCCTTGTCCTTCGTCATAATTCATCTCATCCTTTGTTGCCGCGGTATCGTCCAAGTCGACCCTGAAGTTCTGAATCTCCCATGAAGTTATGAATCTCCCGAAGTTCTTTCGAGTCAAAGATAACCTGGGCACCATGCTTGATGCGGAAGAAAAACTTGGGAATGTCCCACGCCTTCCTCATTGCCTCGAGGATTTCCTCCCGGGCTACATCAGCAGATCCTTTCTTGAGGTCGACGATGGATATGTTTGTTAGCAGCCGGAACTCACCAGCCCAAATGATCCAAAACCGTGGGTACTTTGCTGTGAAGTTCAGCAAGTTCGTCAAAGAAACAAAAGGATGGCTATGTTACTTGGCCTACATTACTGTAATTAATGGCAATCAGGTTTACTAATCCAACTAAATAGAGTTCATACCAACTGCATGGAAATCATGCCTTTTTTGGCAGTTGAGGCCGCAACCTACGTGCAGCAAAGCATCGATTTGAATCAATTCAGAAACCTACTGGTCGCTTAGTGACTTTGCAGCAAAACATTACCCAACTAAACAAATGTCATACCCTTGTCATCAAAGATGCCCCTTAAGCCTTAGACTTTTTAACTTGAATATTCAATTTCATGCTTTTCATTTGGGCTACTATTATAAAGTTGATCCACTTACCAAATTCCACACGTCCCCGAAATCAATGCTGATCTAAGGTACTGCACATGGAGCAGATTCTGTTGACGATGGAGCATATTGCACGAGAGCGTGCTCAGAAAGTCTCCGGCCTAAGGCTTTATCTATCATTTCTTTGTTCATTACTATTATTAATTTTATGCGTTCAAATCTTAGTTTATTGAACTGAAGTCCTAAGAATCTTGGTTTCCTCATGTTTCCTCCCATAGTTATTATGAAATGATGGGTTTGGTGTCTTTTTATATTGAACTTTTGGGTAAATCATTCATTCATAATTCCCATAGATATCCCCACATACCCTGAGGCTGAAGGCATCGTGGCTACGGACTTCCTGCAGAACAAGTTTGATATGGAAAGAGCTTTGTCGCTTGGCACTTCTAGGCTTGGCATGTCCCCAAACCATAATAAACTAATTCAATAGATTATTAGTCAGGTGTTTGGATATTTAGTTATCTTTAAGTTATTATATTAATAATATAGATCATCATTAAACACATAATCAAGGTTAATCAAGGTTATGGAATCATTTGGTCCACCTGGCTGCAATCCCATCTGAGGACCCTGGCAATTCTTGCAGATGCCCATGATGAGGCGTTCCTGCTCACCAGAGTTTGTGACCAGGAGGGGTTCAAACCTTCTGAACTGACTGTGGCAGTGGACCGGCCCCTTGACTGAAAAAGATTTGAAGTTAGTTGTCATAAACAGGCCCAATCTGAAATGAAACTGTATCAACAATATAATCAAAAAATGTTTGTTGACCCTTGGCGCCCAAGGTTCCAGTCAAATTGCCACTACATGTTCAACAAGGGCCATATCTTTACCATGGATGGTACCTACACAAAGTATCTCTTGGACACCTTGGGGAGTGCACCGGTGACCCTTATTTTTCGGGGCCAACCGTTGGTGCTTGGTGGGAGTCAATCTATCCCTGCTGCGTTGAAGAAAAGAGTCCTGGCAAGGACTGCCATACTATCACATGTTTGGGTTTCAGGTGAACCAGGTGGAGCTACTAGCAAGTGGGTTTTAAGACTTGTTATAAGTTGGTTAAGTAGGGTAGGTTCATTGGAGGTGGGGTTATAAGTCACTGGGATGAACCACCAAGTAACTAAGTTCGTTTGATTATTTGTTTTTCCATGGGAGGATGGTCAACTGGGTCAAACTCGCCAACAACATCATCGCTTCAGAATTTCCCAGCTTTGGTGTGCTGAATCATTTGGCTACATCCACACGCTTGGACAAGAGTAAGTTCAAAAGGAAGGAAAAACGGCTGGCACCATCAGCACTGGCATCATTGAAGGCATTGAGTGATGCTTGGGGCCTTGATTTTGCTCCTTGGCTTTGTCCTCATTCCTGCCCAAACAAAACTGATAGTTTTATCTCCTGCACTTTCATTCTAAAACCAATTACTTGCCATAACAACATATTAATAGTTGTCATGATTCTTATCGTAATGTTTGTCAGTCGTTACCCCCAGAACATCCTCAGAAATAGTCTAAGGTAGCACTTCGGGCTGAAATGCAAACATTGTACCCAGTGGCCCTGTCTTTGATGGTTTCCCAAAATTGTGGGGAACTTGAATCTTGGTCAAAAGCAATCCTGCGAGAGCGCAAGCTTTGCGGCAAGCTGGCCTGTAGTTCAGCTTCCAAGATCATTGCCAGAGGTCTGGCCTGGTCGTTTACGACCAGTGATGTTGAGCGATTGCTCCATGGTAGCATTTCAAAGTTACAGTGATTTATGAAGTCTTCTGGGTCCATGTTCACATATGTTCACCCCAGAACCTATACTGTAAGTTGATTGATGGGATTCATTGGTATTTCTCAGTATGGGTGATGAGTGATGCTAAAAAATCCACAACACATGGGTTCATGTTTTTTCTGATCATCCCTCATTTTGAGAACTATCATTATCATAGAATGCCCTGTCATTGAATAATACTAATCATTATTTTTTCCATCATCATTAATAATGGGGTACTAAGGTTCAGCCAGAATGTCTGGATGAGTGGATCAAAGCGGGGCTTCATCGGCATCAATACTCTAAATGATGAGCTGCGTGTTGCCTACCTCAACACAGAGGATGAAGAGGAAGCAATCCACATGGCACAATTGGAGTGGGCTCCTTGTTCCAAAGTTAAATCAGAATATAGATGGAAATCATCAAATTCCAAGTTCTTTGGTTTGGGGTCGCCTTCCATCCCTTTACCATTGCTTCCAGGCACGGGTGTATGGAGACATGAGAGAGGCGTGGCCCCACATGATTGTATAGAAAGTGTTCTCAACATGTCTCAACTGTTTAAAAGCAACATGATTTCAATTTCAACATTGGATCTGTTCTTGACTCAAATTATTTGTTGGTGTCAGGCAGTGCCCAAAGTACACAAAAGGAAAAACAAGAGAAAGAAGGTGACTGGCAAATCAGAATCTGAAAATGCTTGGCTGAAGAAGCGCCGACGCCTGGTGGATAAGGCTGTGGCTAGTGGCTCTGCATCCGCTGCTGCTGAAGCCCAAGATGCGGTGAAGCTTTCAAAGGACCTCTGGTGCGAAAAGCAAAGAAAAGAGTTGGCACTTCAAAGAAAGAGGGATAATGTGAATAGTTTCTTGTCAGTCAATGGGTGGGTTCTTTGTGCAGTTTTCCCCTTTATCACTTGAGGATTTCACAAGAAATGAGAAACAACTTGCCATACTATGAATGACTGAGATGAACAATTGAAAAGAAACTCTAAATCGTTTGTTTTTTGTTTGGTTTGTGCGCAAGTTTGGGTATAAACTGCAAGCCCCTGGTGCACGTAAACCCATCCAACAAAGACACTGAAGTTTAGACATTGGCTGAGTTAGATGAAATAGTTGGTATCACCATCTTTTGGTCGAACAGATTTGGAGTCAGGATTGGAAGCCATGAATGATGGATTTCTGCCTGTCAAGAACATGTTCATGAAGCGTCAGCTGCGGGAGTACAACAAAAGGAAGAGAGAGGTGCGGGCAACCTACTTCAAGAATCGTGAAAAAAGTGTGGGCCCCAAGTGTGTTAGATTAAAGGTAAAGGGTAAGCTTGGCTTAGTCTTAAAACTTTGTACTTTCTTGCCCTGCCTGTCCCTGTGCTTAGGTCGCCGAGCCACAAAGAGTTTCTTGGCTAATCTGGTGAGCGGTGTGGCATTACGCCTTCACATTTGGCAGACTGACCCAAGGACCGGTCAAATTGGACCCCAGGAACAAAGTGTTCTTTGTGGATTCTCCCCGGGACCAAGTCTTGGCTCAGATTCACCAACTCAATGGAACAGTACCTTGGATGATATTTGAACTGACATATTTCTTTGCACTTTGCACCCTTGAACAATTTTTAGTGACAAGTGTACAACAAAATAATGTCAAGTGGGAATTGGGACCTGGTCCATTGATTAATTTAAGCACCCGAAAGATATCTTCAATTTCTTCAATATCACAAACCCATCTGGCTTCTGAATAAAAATGTTGTTTTAAGAGGATTCCCCTTTGGTTGTCTTCCCACAGTGGCTTTAATCTTAGTAATGACAGCAGAAAGGATTTAACAACACATGGGTGCTTTGGGCTTCATTGTCCCCAGCCCTGAGCTTTAAGGTGACTAATTGCCGGGTGGAAGCTGATATCATTGTTTCTGATTCCGAGCTGCCGGGTCTTCGAAATCAACTTGCGATGATGATTGTTGGTGGATCAATCATGAAAACTTCAATGCTGCTGGGTGGCCATGGAACCGTTCTATGCTACAAGCGGCTGACCAGAACACCAAAGTGGGTTCATATGACTGGCACTTTTAAAACAGAGTTTCCAGGTGCTGCTGCTGTGATAAGCCCCTTTGATTTATTTATCTTCATGTGTTTATTATCCTTTAATGTAGGTGTGGTGTAGTTTGTTTGATCCCCCCTCCTCTACTTCCAAACAAAATATTTTGCTGTGCTGACCCAGTCAACTCAGGAACTGGCATTGAGCGACAATCTACACCCCGGTTGTGGAAATTACTGACCCTTGAAGACATGCTGGTGGGTGACCCAGTCATATCGATGAAACAGATTATGAAAATAGTTCATTGCCCGAATGAATTAAGACAATCACCACATTATCATCCATCCCAACGCCAGGAGAAGAGAAAGTCGTATGTGCCTTCCCGATTCCTTTGCTTCGTGGGCAAAACTGAGCCACAGTTGAACCTCAAGGCGGGCTCTAGATTTCAATAAACTATCAAGATAGTTTTAATTGTTCAAATTTGTTTCATTATCGTTATTTATTATATCTGATTGGGGCATGATGATTTTAGAAGTGCAATTGATTGGGGTCTGGAACATTTCTGCAAGGATTGAACCCCTTGTCAATTGGGAATGTCTCAAAATGAGGTGCCCTTTTTTCCTTTATTTTTTTTTAATATTTGGTGCCACTTAAAATGGGCACCTCAATTTTGAAACATACCCAGTTTATATGTTGGGGTGGAAACTTCACAGGTGAAACAACTGATGAACCTCAAGATCAAGCCGTTGACAGGGCTGAACATGGCCAGAAGGCTGTGCCAATTAGATGAATCTAAAACAGTTCGGGGAATCTGCGGTTCCTGGTAGGGATGGTGAGCTGATGCTTATCAAAACAACTTACCCAAAAAACCTGCTAGTCAAATCCAAACCATTGGTCAGGTTTAATCCATTGGTATTTTGATGCAAATATTAAATCACATACAAACCAGAACCCTGAAGTTGAACACATCAGCTCCCAATTAATTTCACACTTTGTGTGGGGGAATCCTGTGACTGTGGCGTGAAGCAGCTGCCAATTTGCCGCGGCATCAGCAAAATCAGAAGATTGTTTGCCAGGGGCTGCTTTGGATTCTGTGCAGCCAGGAAGTTTCGCAATCTCATCATCGGGCCAGTTCTCACGACTGTTTTGCCTCCCTTTCCTCGAGTTTTGCTGCCTTGTTTAGCTCAGTTTTTGCCTCTGCTTCACATCTGCAGAGCTGATCACTCAGGGGGACTCATTGCCATAGATCTCCACTTGGTAGGCAATCGACCAGTCACAGGTGCCAATGCATTCCAGCAGCAGTGCTCTTTGTTTTACAACCCCCTTAAGTCCTAGGTCAGAACATGATTGGGGAGTTGTGGAAACAAATTGCATTGGCTTCCTTTTCAATGTTCCATTTACTATTGAAGGGATGAAGGGAAGAAGGGAAGAAGGGAGGAAGGGAGGAAGGGAGGGAGGGAGGAAGGGAGGAAGGGAGGAAGGGAGGAAGGGAGGGAGGAAGGGAGGAAGGGAGGAAGGGAGGAAGGGAGGAAGGGAAGAAGGGAGGAAGGGAGGAAGGGAGGAAGGGAGGAAGGGAGGAAGGGAGGAAGGGAGGAAGGGAGGAAGGGAGGAAGGGAGGAAGGGAGGAAGGGAGAGGAAGGGAGGAAGGGCGGAAGGGAGGGGAAGGGAGGAAGCGAGGAAGGGAGGAAGGGAGGAGGGAGGAGGAAGGGAGGAAGGGAGAAGGGGGAAGGGAGGAAGGGAGGAAGGGAGGAAGGGAGGACGGGTTGGGGGGGGGGGGGCAACTATGTTTCCCTTAAACTAATGGAACTATGTTTCCCTTCATTATCATTCACTAACCTGGGACCTGTTTGCCTCGCTAACGCTATCGCTAACGGGGAACCGTTTACTTCGCTATCACTAACGGGGGGCCTGTTTACTTCGCTATCGCTAACGGGGGACCTGTTTACTTCGCTATCGCTAGCGTTAGTGAATGTTTAGTGATGATTAAAATTAATACTGTGTTGATGATTTAAGCAATCCCAATTTAAGGCAAACACTGTTGTATCGGGTTGCGAATTTCGCAACTCCATAGGACACTCACTAGCGTTAGTGAGAGCTGTATGGGAATTTTAATTTCGCTGGAGCTGAGGCAAAGTTGTGTTTGCGCGCTAAGGGTCTTGCGAAAACACAAGATTTAGAGGTCTCCAGCGAAATTGAAATTCCCATACACTAGTCGCTAGCGCTAGTGATAGCTGTAAGAGGTTGCGATTTTCGCACTCTGTTACAACAGTGTTTGTGTTAAATCCCGAGTTCCTAATTTTTGACAACAGTATTTTTTTGGGGTGGTCAGGAATCTGGACATGAACCATCTTTGGTGTCCTTATCACTGCAGATTTTCAGATCAGCCCGGTGGTGTTTGTGCCTTTGGCTGCAGCCGATGGGGAAGAAGTCCAAATCTTCCTTGGGAAATGCCAGCACGGTGACCCCGCCGACAAGTGTGGTGGGTGATTCCGTTAGTGATGCTGGTAGTACCCCTCCTACTTCAGCAGGTGCTGCCCCCTGGCTTGATAGATAGCATATGGTTTTGAATAGCAAGTATCACTATTTGATGACTCTTATTTTGTTTTAGTTAGTCCATACCTGCCTGACTCAATATACTTTAACATATGTTACTGGTTGGTGGTTTCAACCCATCTGCAATAATAATGATCAGTTGCCAATAATAATTATTATTATATAATTTATATGGAAAAAACATGTTCCAAACCACCAACCAGTATTCCTTTGATGGCCAAAGCCCCATCCCTACAGTTACATGCCAATTCAATGTCATTATTGAATACCAAGGCGTACAATGTGGACATTGTGGATCAGTTCAAGTCCCAATGCCGTCATTTGATGGATCTCTGGCCAGATGTCATGAACGATGATCCCTTGATGATTCGTGATGGTGGTCAAGAGGTGGGTCAAACAAACACATGTCTACAAAGCACACACATCAATTACTCTCTGGTAAATTAACATAGACCCTGAAAATAGCCTAGTTTTTATGGAAACTAATCTTCCAACCCCTATCTGTCAGGGTCTATGTTAATTTACCAGAGGGTAAATGATGTTGAATAACATCAGCTCTTGCCAGGCCCCATTCAATGCAACGCACTTCAACACCGCTATGGCATTGGACAGGGTGGACAAAAAGGCCTACAAGTGTGGGCAGAACTGGTGGCGCCACAATTTGATTTGGTCGCCAAACCCTGGGGTTGCTTAGCCATCATTTCAACTTATGAAACTTTCCTTCTAAAAACTACACCTCAAAATCCAAGGGGATTCACACGTATGTATTATTAAAATTAAGTTGACTCTGATGTCATATTTATCAAGTTATATCCCTGTGTTTTTCTTGAACCGGTTTGCCTAAGACTCCTGTGCGAAATTCAGCGGTGGAGAAAATCATCAAGTTCCACTTTAGCAAGCCTGCTGCCTATCCCTTGACTTTGAAAGTATGGGTGCCGACACTTAGCTAAAATTTGTGCAAAAACTTCAAATTATTAACCAACTTTTAACAGTCTCATGCCCCCTTACTTTGAGCTCTAAGGCAAGACATGGAGAGCTCGAAGGTCACCACACCCGATACGACCGATGACCCACTGGAGTGCTTCCCCAGGATCCGCTTGTTGAGTCCGTGCGAAATGGACTATGCCTTTGTAGCTGCAGCATACCGTGACCGGGAAGACCCAGACAAGATGGATGAGTGGAGGACAGTGTGTTTTGTCATGAACAACACCATCAAACTTTCAAAAGTTGTTTCTTCAAATTATGTTGGTCTGTGTCATGAGGAAATACTTCTTGTCAGTCAGCTTTGAGTACATCACTCGTGATTGCCCTGTGGAGGAGTACCTGGGCATATCAACTTTATTTTTTCTTTGATTGGGAAAACACGACCAACATGCCCCGATATTATTCTTATTATTGTTCCTGTTTTATTTGTTCTGGATGGGTTTTTGACATTGGAAAATTATTCAACTGCCAAAAAATGGGTAAGATTGATCCCAATTTACCAGCCAATGGGGTGACCTAAGGCTGCATCTGGTGGCTATGCAGGAGCGGCAGACTCTCGGCTTTAGATAGTCAGATAGTTGTGATTGACTATGACAACTGATTGCAGCTGATGACAATGACAACATCTAATTTAAAACAACTTCATCTGAGGACCATCGAATTGCATGGGGTAACTTTGTCCCATAGCCCCTTGCAGAACTTTTTCAATGTCTTGACGTTCAAGCACTCATTGGAAGATGCCCGGGGGCCACTGAACGCGGACAAGCTTGCAGAGATGTATGATCAGCATGTGAAGTTCGCCAACCCAGATGATGCTGTCCCTTGGCTAGTAACTCAATATTTTGACTTGGATTGCATGTCTGTTACTTAAGCCCAGGCCTTGTCAAAGTCATTATATAACCCAATCAGTTTCAATATCAGTTGCTTGGCCAACCCAATTCACAGCCTAGGTCTCGCCGTCCTTCATTGACACTGCATGCACAATGGGGAACCGGGTTTCTTGCTGGCACCAGGAGATCTATTTGAATAAATTATATGTAATCTGCTGTTGGATTGCCACCCCAAGAAACCACCCCAATTGTTTTTTTGATTCGTTTCAAGGGGCTTGTTTTGGGGAGAAAATTAATTCCTTCAACTTCAAAGATCACCCCACAACACTTCCTGAACTGAGAATCTGACCAGGTCTTGTGTGACAAAGTGCTCACAGACCTGCTCCTGTCAGCGGATGAGTCAGAGAAGAAGGCGTTCAGCCATTGGAGCAAGTACCAGATCTTGATCCAAAAGGGTCGCACTAGTGAAGGAATCAGGTGGTTGTTCATGGGGGTGTTCCTTGACTGCAGTTGGCAAAAAAATGTTCCAAAGTTCAAAGTAAAAATTACTGAGGGGGTAATTAGCCAGCCAATGCAGTTGGTTTATGATTTTGTGGGTCTTGCTCAAAACAAGTCAAGTTTATCATAATCTTACGACTCTGAGAGTCTGTCAGCCAATACCTTAATTGGACTTTATCTCACAGGGTTTTCGTCTACCAAAAATTGGTTAAAGTGTAACCATTGGCTAAGCAACCCAAATCATAGCTCACTCAATCCAACCATGAAAGCATCAAATCTGCTCCCCAGGTATGATGGCCATATGGCTGGGCACCTCACGGCTGACAAGTTGTCCACGCGAAACCTCCAAAGCATCACATGTCAGGTTCTTTTGGCACAAAAGAGTCTGTTGCAGTTGCTTCTGGAGAAGATGGACACTGACTATGGAGAGTGGTCATCAAATGTGAAGACTGCTACTTGTCTGAATTTTAAGTTGGAATTTCATTGCATCCAAGTTCTCTTCACATCCAACTCATTTATGCATTCAATTCTTTCTTGGCAAATCCAAGTTCTCTTCACATCCAATTACATAGTTTTACTATTATTTAGATTTGCTGTGGCAGTGATGAGGCCATCCGTAATGCATCAGCAAACCATGTGGAGTTTCGATCGTGCCTTGGGCAGCACTTTGGGTGTTAGGGTGTTTAACTCGATTTCATTATTTTAATCATATTGATGTCTAAAACACAACTTTTTCACAGGTTGTCAGACTTGCGTGCATCCCACTGGGCTGGCCTTGCTGAGGCGAGTCGATGGCGATCAAACTTGGAGAGCTGGTTGGCCACCCTCGGCAGAAAGCATGTGGGAGCTGATTGAAGATACTTTGCTTAACACTTTAGTGCCCCTGTTTTCATTCCATTCAAGTGCCCTTGTTCTTTGTCATTCCTTTTCAAATTGAAATTTGAAATGCATGTCAAATCCAAGGCTGCCTGCTTTGGGGATGGCCACTGGACAACCATGGTGGGTTTGGTGAAAAATCGACGAGCACTTGCTGAATACTTGAATTCCCCGACGGTTGCTGAAGAATTGAAGGATATCGAGGAAAAGTATGCTGCAGAGGTGAAGGAGAAAAAGAAAAGTATGAAGCTGGCTGCTGGCGAGCAGCTTCAGGAGGAGGAGTCACAGCTTGTGGTCGCAGTTGATGATGAAGATCATCCTGAGCCGGTGCTGCAACACATGTTGGTGGGTGAAGACACAAATCTCCCGATCAAAGCCAAAGATCTGAAGGGTGAAAAGCTTGAAAAGGCAGGGTGGTTTCAAAATTCTTGCTGAACATAATAATGTTTAAATCAACCCAAGATTTAACGACTAATCTAAATTAGCTTGGTAAACTCTGAGATAATACTCTGAGGATGAATGTAATTAATGATTCCTTCCACCTTATTATTTTAACCCATTGGTTTTATTATCAAAATGACTTGCGTCCACAAAGACTTATATTTCCCAATAGGAATCCTTTTGATCTGTCTTTGTCGTTTCATATTCATTTCAATTTTGGTAATGGTATGGGCCAACTTTCCACCATCTTGTTAGGCTGAGAAGATGAAGGACAAATTGATTCAGCTCAAGAAACTGGCCCAAAGAAAGGCAACTCAGCTTTAAAATCGACAACTTCTGCTGCTACCCTCAAAAAACAATCCCAACAAAATTGGAGATTACCATGCTTTGGTTCTGAGGTGGCTACTACTGTGAAGCTGATTCCTGACCCTGGGATGGAAGACAAGCTGGTCGACCTCTACATGGATAGCTGGCTGCCGGACTACAAGGATGAAAAGCATCTTGATCTCAGCCTTTGGGGTTTAGTTTGATAAGTTGCGTGGGGAATATGAATTTGTACAGTAATTCAATTTATGATGGAACTATGCCCCCCAAGTTTATCTATGGCTTGGTCAGGGATTTATATAACTAACAGTGTGAAATTACCATCCAGTAGACCTACAACCTTTGACTTCCCTTCTCAGAAAAAAAAAAAAACAAGCAGTGGCCCAAATTGATCTGTGAACCAGCAAGTTAAAAACATTGGAATAGCCCCTTGGGCAGCACACTTTAGTTTTTGCGGACTGGAACAAACTATAAACCCACACTGATGATTTGATGATATGATTCAAAATGTTCATAATCAGTTTCATGTTGACTATTGCCGGGGGGTTTTACCCATACTATTATATCGAATAGGAATAGATATTAATAATTTATGGGTAAAACCACCAGAAATCTTGGGAAATAACTTCATCCCTCACAAGTGCTTCCTTCCAAGCACACCCCAATTGTAATTATCAGTGGTACATTGAAAATCATAGGGGGGCCTTTCTGCTAAGGAAAGTGTGCCATCCAGGGGAGGATCCCTTCTGTACCGCCCTGGTTGGCCACTTCTTTGACAGCAAGAAGTGCAGCGAAGCGGCAACGGCACCTCACCTCAGAGCACCACCACTGAAGGATGGTCGTGTGCAAAGGCTGTTGGCAGCCATCGTGTGGCTTTGCGGGACTTTCTCAATTGAAATTTAGTCAACTGATCCTTGAAGCCAACAACCAAAACTTAAAACCAGGATGTCTCAAAAATATGGTTGCCCAAACCCTAGAATATTGAAAGAAACAAATAGTTCCCCTGTTGAGTGTGCTTAAAAAAATATTTGTTGGGTTTGCTGCAGGCGGGTGCGATTTCCGCAGAATGCTGATGGTGCTGCAGCCTTCAATCCAAGCGACATCTTCATCATGAACGATGGGGGACGTGCAGGTGGGCAGTTTTTTTTGATTATTTTCCATGGGTGCCCTTAACACAAAGTGGCTTTTCCAGGGCATCGCAATCAGCTGACGACCTTGAAGTCGGGGGAGGATGTCATCCAGAAAAATGAAAAGGTCATAACAGTGATCTATTCAGAGGAGTCGTTGGCCAAGCGAAAGGAACGAAACCGACAAATGGGAGCCATCAAACAGACCGAGAGCATTTATATGCTCATGCACCCTTCTGGCTGCCGTGTCATGAAGAAAGCCCGGCCACTTACCTTACACATTAATGGACAGCAGCAGTTTACAATTGTAGAAGTTTCACTGGCCTCCTGTATCCTTGCTCAGGTTGCACCATGAGGGAACCAACCGTGGTGATTCGATCTATGGTGTGAACATGCCCTCATTTGATTCCAAGAGCACTTGGGTCTTGTGCCTTGGCTGCACTTATTTTCATTTTGGAAATTGACATGCACCTCCCCTCAAGCTACAATAGTTTACAAGAAAACCTGGTATTTGTCTAAGGACTGTCAAGGAAAAGAAGGCCTTGTATGCCAAGAACCGCATCGCTGTGGGTGGTCAAAATCCAGAAGGAGAGGATGGTGGAGGTCAGGGTTTCATAATTTAATTTGTCATTTCGTCAGAACCAGTAACCAGTATCATGCACACATACACACACTTAGTATTTAGAATAGATATACTGACAAAAAAAATCAACCATGAATTCACCAACCATATGATCCTTTCCAGACACCCCCTGTGCTTGCCAGGTCGCAAGGCAGACGGCACCACGGAGCCTGCATTCTACCACTCGGGTCCTTATTCGCTGGATGAGGAGATGGTGCTTGGACATGCCATCGGAGCTATCAATGACCTGACCCCAGGTATCTTGATTGCAATCATTAGTTTGACTTGCATTCCATGGCATTTTGGGGGAAAAAACCTTGTTCTTTGAACCCTTTGCATAAAAATGCTAAAAGTAGAACCATTTGAAACCAACATCCAAGGTGATGGAAACTTGGCGCTTCTTGCAATCAGAAAAAACATGCCATACATCGGATTGGTTTTCACTCTGGAGCATGCCTGGGGCTTAGCAAGGTTTGCAGCACCTCATTGAAAGTCTTAAGCTTAAGTATGGTGATGAGATTATCATTTGATTTATTTGGGGTTGAATTTTAGGCTGAGCTGCTGACCCAGCGGTTGGAGAAATTGGTTTTCCAAGCGATGCAGGACTGCCTATGTTTCTGACTTTGAACCGTTGTATATTGTTTACAATTTTGTCCTGCAAGCTTCAATTTGTCATTCAAAATTACCAGGAGCCTTCTGACCCGCTGTACAACCATGAGCTGGCAAAGCTCATCAAAGATGCCAAAGGATTGAAGGCAGATGAGGCCCTTCAGTTGTGAAAAGCATAAAATAAGACATGAACAATTTTTCCCAAACTAATAAAATAAGTTACTGCCTGTGCCCTTCCCAGGATGGAAGCAAGAAGAGAAAGCCAAAGGCAAGTGCAACCAAGAAGAAGCAGAAGAATGATGAGGATGAGGATGAGGGAGGAGCTTCGAATGAGGATGTTGAAACAGGTGATGAAGGGGGTGCGGACAAGGAGGAGGATGAAGAGTCCGATCTGGCTCCATCCCTTTTGGCGTCAGACAAGGAAGACCTGGATGAGATGTCTGATGGGTCCACTATGGAATTGGGTGATGTGGTGGAGGAGAAAAAGAAGAAAGGTCAGCCAAAAGCCAAAGCAAAAAGTGCGTCCCAGAAGGCAAAGGCAAAGGCAAAGCCCAAAGCCAAGGGAAAAGCAAAGGGAAAGCCAGGCCGACCCAGGAAAGTCAAGGAGGCAAGTGAAGAAGACATGGAAGAACATGCAGAGGAAGATGATGATGAGGATCAAGACCCACCATCCCTTGGTGATGAGGACGAGGAGATGGAGGTCACACAGCCTGAGCCGAAGAAGAAAGCAACTGCAAAGAAGTCCAAGACTGAGACCAAGAAGAATGCATCGGGAAAGCGAACTGAGGCCAGGTAGTTTTTGGGACCCATTGCTCCCCCACGACATTGTCACTGACCACCAGCCAGGATTCTCCAAGATCTCACCTCTATCATTTTAATGTTTAAAATGCATTCCAATTGATCACATAAATAGAATGTCATGAATACTTTTTCAAATGAATCATCTCCCCATGCCATTGATCGCTGCTGCCAGGCTTCTGGTGGATCTGCCGCGACCAAGCTCCGCAAGCTCGCCAAAGCAAAGTGAACACCTGAGGTGATCACATGTGAGACTGATGCGGGGATGTGAGTGAGGCTATAGGGGTGTTTCCCGGTGGCTGTGATTTCCAAGAAATAAACTATTTAGTTTCATGGTCAATTTCAACCACACATGACAAATGATGAACAACAAGTTAATTTGCCACTTCAGTTCAAATTCTGCGTGGTTGAGATTTGGCAGCCCAGGGATCTGAATATCTAAGTCTCTACTCCATAGCTTTTGATGGTCTCAACATGTTTGAAAATTTGATGACGAAAGGTCTTAGCTACGCACAGGCATCAATGATACCCTGCCACTGTTTGGGAATCTGTGACCATTCTCTTGAACCATTGTTGACCCAACAAATTTCAATGTTTTCAACTTTTGAATACTTTTGGCATTTTTTGACTGTGGCTTTTGGGGTTTGCACTGGCCTGTGGATGAATCTCAGCAGAGATGTGACCAGAAACATGCTTTGTCGTGTCAATCTTGGATCGGATGAGTTTGCCAAAAAGTGAGTTTGAGTAATGTGGATGTTCAATCTGAAGATTTTGAATTGTCTTGTCAATCCTTAATCTGCAGAATGCTGTCTTTTTAGCCCTGCTTCCAAATCATGTTTGCTTGTGGCCATTTTGGGATCAAATGATAGTCGGTGGCATGAAGAAACGAATCATCACAACTGGCTCAGACTTTTCTGGTCTTGAATGCCTAAGTTGGGCATGTAAGAATCTTAACTGCAATTGGGAATAGGGACAGCTGTACTGTTATCATATATGATTATCCCAATTATTTTGGATATCCCATTTTACTTTTAAAGATACCCCATATGTAACAGATCATTTAGACTCCGAGCCAAATAATAAACCATGGAAATGGACAACAGTATGTTCATGTCTCCCATGCCCTGGTCTTCAGGAAAGCTGGCCTGAAGTATGACCTCCGCTTCATCAGTGAGTTGAACAAGCCCCTGCGAGACTTTGCGGCGGACATCCATGACCCAAAAAAAGTATATGGAGTGCCTTGACCCAAAATAAAACCGGTTGATGCTATTGTTTTTTTTGGGGATCCTTAAAACAAAACCCAAATGGTCCAGTCTTGATTTGATCACTGTGAGGTCTTGATCCCCAAACTGTGAGGTCTTGGTATCACTGGATAAGTTTTAAAGTTGATTCAAATTAAATTCAATGAATATTGGTTTTACACCAAACCAGGTTACCCTCTGGTTATTTAACATAGCCATGGAAAATCACAATTTTTAATAGGTAAACCATCTATAAATGGGCCATTTTCCATG